AACAGGGACTTCTGAAAACCCTTCTTAGACTCAGAGCCTGCCACAGGATAGGGGGTGGGCAGAGGAAGGCAGCATTAGGAAGAGCCTCCAGGGCCCTCTGAGCCTCTGCCCACACAGATGGCCAGTCCAGGGCAGAGTGACATCCCCCTGCTCTCCAGCGTGTCCAGCTCTTCTCTACAAGCTTCAGCTGAACACCCGCAGCACCCAAGGCCCGTCTCAGGTGCTGCAAGGATGTGGAACTGAGCACCAGGCAGACAGAGCCTTGCGCTCTGGGAAATGTGCTGGACCTGCGGGCCAGGGGCTCAGAAGACCGAGCCTGGTGCCAGTGAGGCTGCAAGGCATAGCCTGGGAGTTGAAGCAGGTGAGGAGGCCACGGTGCCAGGATTTAAAGCCAGAACCTGAATTGCCCGACCTTTCTGGAACCATGAGTTCTGGGGAACTACCCCAGAGGCACTCAGAGAGACTTGCAAGGCTGCCCACCTGACTCCCACCACTGTGCCGAACTGCAGGGATAAAAAGCAAAGTAAACTCAGTGGAGCGCTCTACATGGGCTGTCCCCGAGTCTCTGCAGACCCACCAGGCCCCGAGTGAGTGATGGTCCCTGCTTTGCCCTGCCCCACGGGCAGGCCTGGACTGGCTGCAGCCTCTGGGGAATCTGCCATCTATGTCAGTCGCTTTCCTGAACTGTAACAAAACACCTGAATTAGTGTGGGGTTAAAAAGAAAGGTTGCTAATTTTGCTTATTCCACTCACAGTTCAGCAGGGGCCAATCCAAAGTCAAGGACTTGTTGGTTGGAGTCTCTGTTGAGAAATGCATACCAGAACAGAATGGGAGCCCTCAAAGCCAGGAAGCAAAGAGAAAGAGGAAGATACCAGGGTCTCAGAGTCCCCTTCGAGGGCACAATACTTCTGAGTCCTAACTTTCTCCCACTAGGCCACGCCTCCTAAAGGTTCCAGCTTGGTGACTGTCCTAGTTAGCGTTGACAGCCTGGAGTCGCATAAAAAGAATCTTTTGTCCGTCAGTGTGTGGGCATGTCTGCGAGGACTGTCTTGATTGTTAATTGATATAAAAGGGTCCAGCCCGCTTGGGAGGCTCTGCTTCCTGGGCAGGGGCCCGCTTGGGAGG